TAGAATTGCCCAGAGTTAGAGATCTAGTAAGAGTGTGACCTGTCAAGGGAGTCTCTATGCACAGACACCAGGCTCCTACCCACTCAGCTCCATCTTGCTGGGAATCAGGACCAAGATCATTATAAACCTGTTAAAATCAGTGCTTTCAGAGAAGGACATGAGCAGATTACAAAGACTGTGTAAATACACACTCTCTTTCCAGCATCCCTGGCCTTTTGAATTGCTCAAGGAGAGAAACTTGCCAGAAAAAGACACCCACAACTCAGTTCTCTCTTTGTTAGCAAAAAAAGCAGCCCTCAGAGAACACAGCCAACAGGAAGCGGAAGAACATAAGATTATCCCCCAGTAAAGTGAAGGATGGGTCGGCCCGCAAAGACAGAAAGAAGTACTGTGCTCAGCAAGTGGTGTCTATAAAAGGCCAGTCTTTTCTCATGAATCTCAGTAGCAACAAAAGGGACAAGAGAGGGAAAAGGCAGGAGGACAAAGAAGAGGAAGGGAGATGTAGAGGCCCGTATCAGTCTTCATGACGGCAGCAGCATTGATGGCTGTTTCTAGATGCAGTGACAGATACAATCAGCTGAAAACAGCCCTGAAACAAATCGCTCCAGACAGAAGACAGGATAGCTTTGCTGCCCTGGGGAAAACCAGCCACCTGTCTCTCATTTCTGCAGTCGTTTTAGGTCTGGGGCAGGGAACTCCAGAAGGGGTAGGGTGGAATGAGGGCAGGCAGCTGCCTCTGCCCATGCACATTGATGTGCTCTGTCAGGGCAGCCCACCCAGCACAGGTGGACTATCAGGGGAGGGAAAGAGCACAGTTACAGGACACATGGAGTCCCAGTGATGACTTAAAGCCATTCTGGTGCCATCTACATCTGTACACACAGCACAGTTCATAACTGATATTCTCACAGTGTTGTCCTGCACAGGTGGCACCAAATGGGGGTTACTGGGAGCTTTTCGTATCCCTCTGCCATTCTTTGACATGGATAAACTTTGCTTTTTCAATCTTTGACTTCTTCTTTCATTCACATTGCTGCCCTTCTGTCTGTCTTTCCTATATAGAAAACCTGGAGCTGCCACTAGAGTTGCCACATGACTTATCACAATCCATTCACCATTTTCTGTGTAATGGAGCTAGAAAGCATTTGCTATGTTTTATAAAAAGATATTTCCATTGAGGAGAAGTTAAAATTGTATGGCTGGATAATGGTTGCTTTGCTACTTAGCAGTGAAATCTCTAGCTGTCCAGTTCAATTCCCAAAGACATTTATAGTTTTATTTTACACAGTGCTGTGTGATTCCAATAATATTTTGAGAATTGTCATTACAATAAAATTCTGCTTTTCAGAAGGAGGCCAAAATGAAGGACTATCTTGACAATTTTTAATCATGTTGAAACAGGTAATGGAAACGGAAAATGTCCATCGGTCCTCAAGTCTAACTGGATGGAGCAAGACCACAGGACACACTGTGCTACTCACTCTCTCTTTCTCTGGAAGCTTTGTGGCTCTGCAGGCAAGAATGCAGTGGTTGATTATAAACATACTCCTCCTACAAGTCAGACTGCCAGCATTTCCATGAGCTGCTCTGTGACGCTTTTAGCTCCAACTTTTTTGCTCACAACTTCTATGGCACTGGCCACCTCTCCTGGAAGCTTGTTCACTACCTATGCTGGAGTCCTTTGTGACTTATCTCTTCCACTGAACTGTAACCTCTGTAAGGGCAGAATTCATTCATAGTCAGTCACCTGGGTCCCTTCCCCTACCTGTGTTCCTACACAGCATCTGTCTCCTTGCAGATGTGAATTAGGTCCTGGCTGACTGATGGAAAGTCTGACTCTCTGCTTTGTACTTCTACCAGAGACTTTGGCCAGATACCATATAATGCTGTGGTTCTGGTTCTGGCTCTGAGGTCAGGTTACCAGCAATCAAACTCTGGACCTGTTTTTAATATCATGGTGTTGTTGTTTCCTCATCTCTAGAATGGAGACAATGATAATAATGACCTTATAGAGCTGTTGTGGGAATGACTGAATTGATCCCTACTGCACAATTTATATAGTGTTGCCTCAAAGAAAGTGTTTAGCTATTGCTATTATTAAAGCTGAGACTTGGTTATGGAGAATGTCTATTCTGTGTTACTGTTTGGGCAACTGCAGAATCACATGTCATAACATTTCCAGATTTTAATTCAGACTTTTAAAATGGTGATTATGGAAAAAATAATTTTGTTCAGACCTAATCTGACTATCTTGAATGAAAAATTTATGGAATAGAACTATTTTCAAGATTGTTCCAGATAAATCTATAAGATTGAGATCTACATGACAAAACTTTCAGGAACTCTTTGGGTAAAAAAGCATTTGTATCTTTCCTCCCCCCCATTTTAGGAATCAGTACACATATTGTCATGAATCACAGTTTGGTGGGCCTTTTAAGGAATTCAAAAGCAAATAACTTAATCATAGACATTGGGAGATGAGACTGGAAACTGAGGCACCAAGAGCCATCTAAGTAAAACTCCTCATTGCCAGACACCTTATGGATTAGGCATGTACAGGCCATGAGGAGGGTTCCTCCCTAGGAAATCCAACCCCTTCTTGTGACTTTCAGTCCTTATTGAAGTCTCCATGCAACTGGAGTGAGTGTGGTTCTGCTCAGAAACTTGAGTTCATTTTAAAATGAACTTAAGAAGGTCTTCTAGTTAGACCCACAATCAGGAAACATTAATGGTCATTCTGGAAGCAGTGTTAGGATCACCAGCTTTTGTTTGCTGTCCAAACCAACAGGCCAGGGCTCTTTGAACATTAGAGCCCTGGTCATTTTCTTTCTAAACTTAAGGTTCAGATTCTAATTCCATGGTATGCAATTTCCTTTATCCAGCAACCCATTGTTGCCTCTCCTTGATAAAAGTGTGCAGTTGTAATCAGCACTCAAGGAGGCACTAGCTGGAGGTCAGGCTGGTAAACTTCATCAGGAATCTTATCCTCCTGCCTGCCTTAATTCCACAGGCCCCTCACCCCCAGAGTGTAAGCCAGGCAACTCTCAAAGGCAGGGAAGAAAGATTTGTGTTCCCACCACATTACTCCCTGACATTGGGGAAGGAAGAAACAGGTGTGTGGCTCTAAATGCATCTTGATAAAATGCAGATGGGAAGTAGAAGAGGGAGCCTTGGAGGAGGAAGCTGGAGTTTGGGGTTTGTTCATCGTTGTTCACCTTTGTAATGAATTGTGAAGCTTCCTCAGGGAAACATTTTTCTTTATTATGCTATGTGGCTCCCTGTCTTCAAAACAGAGCTCTCTGGGGCTCAGGGTCCTGGTACAAGGGTGGGGCACACATTAATGATTGGCAGTTCTCCTGCTCAGGGCTTGGCACTGCCAGTCTTGTTGCAGGCTTTGCCCAGGTCTCATGCTCCAGATAGTAACTGGTTTCTTGCCTTGTTTCTAGTAATTACCAATGGGGTACTGTCCTGCTCAAAGCTTCTCTGCCACCAAGCTTCAATCCCAGATCTTGTAAGCTGTGGTCACTTATTTCTTCACTCTTGAAACTCTTCCTTGATTTACTGTGGGAGACCAACCTCGCACGTGACTGAGTTACTCCCTGGCTGGGTGTTTTGAGGTGTCCAGTAGCAGATGTGGCAGGACTTCCCTGTCCTTCTTGGGTTCCAGAACGGCATCCGGGCAGAGGCGTGTCTCTCCACTACCTCAGGGACCCAATCACCTCATTTGACCTTGCAACACTGCTCCCCTTGATCTTCATTGGACAGGATTTTCCCCAGAATTTAGAGTTCCCCAATAAAAGCCCACTCCCAAGCGTGATAGCACTCTCTTGCTAGCCTCTCTCATGGAACCTCGCTTCCCCTGTGGGGAGCTTGAGGCACCGAGTGTGAGGAGCCGTCCCGGAGCTTGGTTTAAAGGTAAAATTTGTAACTCCCTGAGAATTTCCCTGCATGACCAAACAATTAACCGTTTGCACTAGCCACGGACAAAGATTTACCTCTTGGAATCCCATTCTTTAGAAATGGGTCTTCTCTTGTTCTCCAGTTACTAGCACCTGTTCCAGACCTGCTAGGTGATATCTGCCCCTTACTGGGTCATTGACCAATCACTAGCCCTTCTGAGGCTGTGTCCACTCACTGTTGTCCATGATTGAACCTCCTGATGCCTGGCTTCAATAGAGAAACTTTGGTCAGACTTTATTGTTCTTTCCACCCCAATCCCAGGACAATATCTTACACCACCTGCCTGCCACTCATTCTCTGAGAAACACCCTGAGTTTGCTGACCACATGTGAAGTCCTCAACTGACTGCCCACTGCTGGATTCCCTTCTGCTTCATTCTTGCCATCTAACACTTGCTCTCACATCTTGTTGTTTTGCTCCAGTGGGGCAATCAATAGACCATAAGTTGTCTCTAGGAGGACCAAACCTGCCGTTAGGGTTCCAGACTTGTAATCAATCAAGTTCACTGTGTGGTGATATAAGTCTGCACACCTGCCCAATTGCAAAGTTCACTTTAGAAATCCAGACAAGTTTTGCTTGTTTTCTAGAAAGTACAGATTCAATTTCTCTATTCAAAAATACATTTATGCCTCTGTACCACCACCCTGGCCACCTTATCTAAAGTTTCAACTCCCATCTCTAATACTCACCACCTCCTTTTCCTGCCTTTTATCCCCTCTTAGCACTTTTTACTTATATAATGCATATCTTACTTATCTTGCTTACTGTTTGCCCTTCCTGGTAGAATTCAAGCTCCATGAAGGTAGGGATTTTAACTAATTTTATTATTTCTGTACTCAAAGCTGTCATTCAACAAACACTGATTAGGAAAATTAAGGAGTTAGTAGTGAATGGCAGGATTTCTTGCTATCTGGCCAGGCCACAGGGCTGTGGGTATCATGCCCTCCTCACCAGGGCAGGGAGTTCTCCCAGCTTGTCCATCATGGCCCCTGGAAGCCTGGCTCCTGGGCTTTCCACTCTCGCCACAGCGCAGTGCTCACCTTCAGTTTGTGCTCATGCTCCTTGTTGACACGGGCCAGCAGCTGAGCTTTCCTTCTGTTGAGGGCATCAATGAGGGCATCACACTGGGCCACCAGACAGGCCTCAAACTCCACACTGTTCTCCTGTGTGAGAAAGCACATTTCTCAGGACTTGAGCTGCCAGAGAAAACACAGCTCCTTCATTCACATGTGGACAGGGCATCTCTGACAAAGGGAGTGGAAATGGACTCTGTTCACAGAGCACATTTGGTATTTTTAAAATAACTGGATAAAATTCATTCTATAGTGTTAAATTTAGATCAAAAAAAGTTTTTATTGCTTACATTTTTATCAAAAGGAGACCATCTCCACAAGTTGGATTATAGTCAGTAAAATAAATCTTTAAGCCACTGGTGCATGTCTGTAATCCCAGCGGCTCGGGAGGCTGAGGCAGGAGAATTGCGAGTTCAAAGCCAGCCTCAGTGAAAAGTGAAGCACTAAGCAACTCAGTGAGACCCTGGCTCTAAATAAAATGAAAAATAGGACTGGGAATGTGGCCCAGTGGTCGAGTGCCTCAGGGTTCAATCCCTGGTACCAAAAAGACAAAACAAAAAAACTTTAACTTGTAGAGTGGCACATGAGTCCCACAGTGAGTCACATGTGTTCAGTTCTGTGTAGTGGAGGGTGGCAACCAGGTGGAGTAGGGGATGGTCAATTAGGAGACAGAATCATTAAATTCAACAGAAGAAAGAAGACAGGGTTACAGTGGTCTTCAACATTAAACAATACTCTAACGACAATAGAAGTTTATAAGAAATAAGAATGATCAGCAAAAGATCTTGTCCCTTTCATTAGGGAAAGCAATAGTGAAGAATAATCAATGTTTGTAACAGGGTCACCTTGCTGTAAACATCAGGTATAAAGCAACATATGTGGAAAGGTAACTATGTGCTAAATGAATTAGAGCTTCCTTATGATGTTTAAGTTAAATGCAGGATATCAAATTTTTACTTGACTTAAATCCATACATGTCTTTCATTTAAGCAATTCACTGAATAATAGGCATTTAGGCAAAATAATCTTTCAATAAGTTACATATGCAATTTTGATTCTTAAACCATAATCTGAACACAATTAGAATTTTTAGCAAATGAAAACTAAATACTCACATATGTATTAATAGCTCTTAAAAATAGCACCCAGTTGAGGGCTGGGAGTGTGGATCAGTGGTAGAGCACTTGCCTAGCATGCTGGATTTGAGCCTCAGCACCATATAAAAACAAATAAATAAAATAAAGGTTTTAAAAAAATAAACATTTTTTTTAAAAAAATAGCACAGTGTTAAGTAAATTGTAAATGTTTTGGGAATAGCAAGGAAGGAACAGTTTAGCATAACACACTTTATTCCCAAAGTCATGAAGAACTATATCTATATAATAATCCACTGACAGGTATTTGGTAACTTTTTTTCAAACACAAGATCTTCATATAAGGTATGCTTTAGTAATTGCTTGAGTAATGTATCTATAGATGCTAATTCTGGCTTTCATGGCAATCATTTTTTTTTTTTTTTTTGAGTTTTCAGGGAACACCCATTGAAAACATAATTTAAGAACTCTCTATGCCCCATGCAGGGAAATGGTGGAAGGAGGTTGGGAGGGAGGGAGCTTTCCCCTGGAAGTCTCTGTTACTTTTTTCTTGCAGAAAGAAAGCTTTGCTCTGATGAAGAGGCAAGAAAGAGGCAAGCCTGGGTCTGCACATTTTATGCCAGCAAAAGCAAAGAAAGGACTGATTGATAAGCTCCATGGCTTTGAAAAACAGAAGGAAGTGTACAAAACCGTTGGGTTGTTAGGGAATCAAACGTTTTAACATAGGCATGCATGCCAAAAAAGGGCAAAATCAGTGTGTAATGCTTTGAAAGGGTGGCTTATGTTTTTTAAAAAAGCCATTTCTGCCTTGATATGGGTTCAATGTTAACTCAGAAAGCCAATATATTGAAAGCCAGAGTTTAGGTTATTTCTATGAGGCAAACCTCAAAACATCAGAATGGCAAACAGTGAAAAGGTTCATTATTTTAGTGTCTCATGCCTTTTATAGGTTATCCCTTTTACTACTGTAGATAATTTATGAGTTCTCAAATGATGAATGACCTGCTTGCTGGTCATTGTGTCCAGATAAAGATATCTGAAATTATAGTCACCAAGAGATCATGGCTGGAAAATATCCAAGTATCTAACTAGAGGAGAAGCATTTCTATGGGAAAGGAAGAAATGAAAGAAAGAAGAAAAAGAACAGAAAGAAGGAAGGTAAATAAGTAAAAAAAAAAAGGAAGGAAAGGAAGAAAAAACTAGAGAAAATGTGGCTTGTTAATATTAAATAAGATGTATTTACTATAGGTGTTTTGGGAATGTATAGGGCTTTAAAACTCAGTAATGAACAACTAGAATTTACAAAGAAATAGTCCTCTTTTTACACACATGCTACTAGGGAATTAGGACTTCAGTGTAAAAGACAGGAACCACTTGGAAACCCAGGCTGTCTCTTGCTTGTGGGCAAAAGGCAAGCACCTCAAAAAGGGGCAGGTTGGAAGCTGCTCTCTGTGTGTTTGTATGTATAAAAGAGACAGGGCAGGAAATAAAAAATAGGAATTTTCCCAGAACACAAAAATAAAGGAGAAGACACAAACACCCCCACAATTTCACATTAGCCCATGGGGTTTGCTTTCCGTCCCAGGTGACGCTGATACCTGGATCTGCTGGACCATGTTGCGGAGCTGCACCAGAAACTCCTTGGCTTCCTTGGCCCGGTCTGACAATCCATTCAGTGCCTGGGAGAGCTGGCTCTGAGAAGAGAAAGCGGGGAAAGCATGGAGTTCTAATCACACAAGGCCACACAGAGTTGTTTCAGAGAGGAAGACCCCGGGACCAGGAGTTGTCAACCTGCTTGTCTGAGGTCAGGTCATTGAACTGACATTGATTCATACAGATTCCATCAACAATGGTGTCCACACTCCCTTCCAGGGGCTCCTGAGGAGTTTCTTCTCAAAAGCAGTGAAAACTTCTGGCCTTTGCCTCACGAGCTGATATATATCTAGACTTTCCTCATCTCCAATTAAGTGATTATTTATGTAATACCTATTATTTGCTAAGGATAAACAAACAAAACAGTGAATAGGATGATCTGATTATTATTGACATTATTTAGTTCAAAGAGCTATTATCTGGGATTGGGTCAGAAAGAATGAAGAGAGACAAGAACAGAATAAAGAAGAAAGGTTTAGGTTCTTGTGCAATACCCTGGGGGCCACTTACATGTGGTAACAAAGATAAACAGCAGGATTTCATTCCCCCTTTCACCCAATCAATGTCCCCCTCCTCTTCCCATGATGGCCCTGTTGCCCTAACACCTCTCCACACCAGCCTCCTAACCAAGTCTTGCTCCCTTTCTAACTTTCTTCACTACCCTATCCCTACAGGGGTGCTGTTCCCTTGAAAAGGCAATGTGTCCAGGTAAACACTTGCTCTCCCAGCCTCACTGTCTGCTAGGGTGGCCTTGACACACATTGCTGATCAATGGAAGTGGAAGTCTGCTGGGGGCTGGAATGGTCTGAGAGAGCTTTTTGGCTGACATGGGACTGGTGTGGTTGGTGCAGCCTCTTCCCTGGGCTCCTGACTTTACGATAGCTGTGATGTCTTCTCACTGGCATGTGGAGCAGTGATGAATGAAGTAAGATCAGTTGGGAAGACAATGAAAAAATCCTGGAAGGCTCTTCATTACTAGAAAATGTCCTTGTTGGTAAAGATTTGTGTGCATTGCTTTTATAGGATAGTCTTTCAATCGTATTTATAAATATCTGGTGGAAGGATGGGGAAAAAAGGAGCCTGGATCCGATGGCATCTTGGAGCAGTGGAGCCTCCCACCACTAACTAGATTTCTTGTAAAACTCCAGTCCCCTCTACAGGAGTTTTCCCCACTTCCAGCCATGAGCATTGTATTTGATACAAAATTCCACCTCCAAGGAGCTTGGTCATATCCTTCTGTCTCTCACATTGTGACAGACTCCATTTCCCAAAATGCCTCCTTGGATAAACTAAACTCTGTTCTCCTCCTTGCCAATGTAATGTATTATCTACCCATTTTTTTTCTTTAATAAAAGGACAGAATCTTAAAATTAAATCTCTTGGTCCTGTGAATGTTCTCTTATATTTGCCTTATTAAATACAAACAGGCTATTGACTCTTTTTTTTAATAACTGTAAAACAGAATGGGTACTGACTATTAAAAATATGTATGCCAAAGGCTGGGAGGAAGCAATGTGGGATGGTAAAAAGAACAGATTTTGAAAGAGTTAAAATTCTGGCTTTGTCCTTTACTAAGTGTGCCTTGATAAAGTTAGCTGTGCCTGAATTACTCCAATGGAAAAAATGGGAATAGTAATAATATTTTGTCGGTGGGTTTGTGAGGGTTGAATGCATTCATCTCTTTGAAACCTTCTGCTAATACAGGGTAGTGATTAAGGCAACTATTCAGATCTCATAAATGCTGCCAGTTACTGGCTATTCAACTTTTTATACATAGTTTTACCTCCTCCATAAAATGAGAAGAATACTACTACTATTCTTGGGTGTTGTGGACATTGTATGAGATACTATGTCTAAAGCCCAGAACCCTGCTGGAGCACAGCCACAGGGTACATGCTTAATAAATGTTGGCTGCTATTAATTGTTAACTGCTTTCTTTATTACTGCTTACACAAACACCTGCTGACTGGAGAGATCCAAAGCACAGATTCCTGGAACAGGATCTGTTGGAGAATATTCTCCATCACTTACACTGCCAGAAGGGTAGACCAACACAACTGAGTAAGAAAAATCACACATTGAGCCTAGAGTTGAAAAAAGCCTACTCAATTCTTTACTGGGCGTTTTAGTCAGCTTTTTTCTGCTGCACTGAAAGACCTGACAGAAACAACTGGAGAGGAGGAAAGGTTTATTTAAGGGCTCATAGTTTCAGAGGTCTCAATCCACAGACAGCAGGCTCCATTCCTTGGGGTTCAGGGTGAGGCAGAACATCATGGCAGAAGAGTGTGGCAGAGGAAGACAGCTCACATGATAATCAGAAAGCAGAGAGAGAGAGAGAGAGAGAGAGAGAGAGAGAGAGAGAGAGTGCTCTCAAGATAAAAAATAAATACCCCATCCACGCCCCTAATTAACTATTTCCTTTAGCTATACCCTACCTGCCTCCAGTTACCACTCAGTTAATCCCATTAGGGATTAATCCACTGATTAGTTTAAGGCTATAACCCAATAATTTCTCCTTGGAACCTTCTTGCATTGCCTCACATGTGAGCTGTTTGGGGACACCTTACATATAAACCACAACACTGGGTCTTAGTTACACCATCATAAGAGGTTAAATGTCTCCTCAAGAACTATTTCCAGGAACCCAATAGATAAAGGAGAAAAAAGTGTCTCATTTAGGAGGAAATGTTTCTTTTAGAACTCATGTTTCTTTATTTTTTTTCTGAATGGCTAAAGGTTTGTTGAGCAATCACAGCTTTATTCCCTTTTTATTATAACCTATGAATTAGTAACCACCCTTGGAAGTGTGAGTACAGAAAGTAAATTCATTTGGCTACACAGAAGTGGAGCTATCTGATTTCTTACATTCTAAACTTGGGATTAATTTTGTCTGTGTATCTAAGTCAAAGCTGACACCCATGAAGTTTTGTTAACCAAGAGTTGCATATTCTTAGAAAAAAACATTTAGTAGTAGACAAAGAGTGCTGGTTTCATCAAGGATTTTATATGGCAAAGCAATAAGTGAATTGCAAAAGACAATTTTTCCCAGGTTTCTTTTCTTTGTGTCTATGCTCAGTCCTAGTGCCCTCACCTGGCTAATGATTGTTCTGGTATTTGATAAACAATTGCATTATAAGATAAAGGTCTAGAAACCTTTCTTTTAAGCTTTGTCTACTTGTAGAAATTGAGCAGGAGACAATGAGAAATCCTGGAAAGCTATTTATCACTAGAAAATGCCCTTTGTGGTAAGGGCTTATATGTGCATTGTTTTTATAGTGTAGTCCTTTGAGAACATTTGTAAGCTATATCTGATATAGAAGAACCTTATTATTGATTGATCTGGTTTCCTAGAAACCTTTAAATTCCTGATCTGTGCTAGCAGAGACATTCTGTATTCAGGACCACAGAGCAGCATTGTAGATTTGCCACCAGAGCACTGAAAATGCAAATATGCAGTGTGTGTTTTTATTGCAGTATCTTTGGCTGAACATATAGTCATTAGAGGGAGGAAGGTTCTACAGGCTGTTTATAATGCCTATGCAGTGGCTTTCAGAGTTCTTGGAGATTCATTTTCTAATGAAAGTGTCTGAAAGTGAATGAGAGTGGAAAAATGATGCACCCACAGAAGCACAGACAGTTTTCTGGTTAAGTTGTTCTCGGCTCAGAGCATGATCAGAATAACCAAGGTCTACAGAAAGATGGCAAGCTGCTGAAGAAGAGAAACAAAGAACTCCAACTCTTCCTCCCCTCCATGCATGCCTCTCCCTTTAACTCCACACCTAGAAATACTCCTTTTGGAGGCTTTCCTTGCCTCCAAAAGGAGTATTTCTAGGAGAAATTTTAAGAGTTCAACCCTAGAGCAACCGCAGAGGATGTTTCAGAACCCATTTCTTAGGCTCAGCAAAGGGGAAAGGAATTCAATCCATCCTGACCAATTTCTTACTTTATGTGCATGCAGCCATGCTGCTGAGCACACCCCAGAAAGAAGACTGGCTCTTTCCCTTACTCCACTGTAAATATCATACACTTGTCATTTTCCCCTCAATTTACTACTAATATTGGGTGAAATTCCCTGGTTGTCTGAGATCTGAAGATACAAGTAAAGAGCAAGTCAAAAAGGATCAACGAAAGAGTTGGTATGAAACAGGTGAGGCAGCAAATACACAACAGCTGCTCAATGGCCCAGAAGGTGTGGGGCACCTTCTCCATCACAGTGCACGCTGTTCAGGTACTGCAGGTGAGCCACAGCCCACTCTGCCTCCTTTGCAGGTACCAAGGTAAACACCAAACACAGGAATAAAGTGGCCACTGGTGCAATGAGATTCTGAAAAAAGGTGCCCAAGAGAATAACTTTTTTTTTTTCTGAAGAAATGCTGATTTTTTTTTTTTTGACTCTCACAACATTACCAATGTTATACAAGTAAAAAGTAAAAGCAAGAAACTCTAATAGTTATAATGGTCATTTGTTATGACCTGGGAACTCTAATGGGTGCTTTAAATGTACATTCTACTTAATCCCAATCACCAATCTGTCAATTGTAGAGGCTTGGAGAAGATATGCCTGAGTTAAGGTGTTTCTACTCACATGGAACACAACGAACCTTAGTGGGATTCCCAAATCATGCCTTTTGCTCCACTACCCCAAAGAAATGGAGAGGGGGGCGGAGCAACCCATGGTATAAGCATGTAAAAGCAGAGAAGGTGAGCTGATGAGGGCTCATTAATGATTATGAAAGGACCTGGTCATGCTCAATCGTCAGTTAATATATAAGCCATGGCATGCCTAGTTACCCTGTGAAATGTTCAGCTTCCTTTCCTGCATGAAGTTTTTGGTTTTGTTTTTGTTTTGGTGAATTTGAAAAAGAATCCTATAAAAAGAGAAGGGTATCATGGCAATAAGGAAGAAGCTTGGGATTGGGGTCCAGAGCTGGCTTTATCATCTACTGGCCTGAGAACTTGAACAGAGACTGGGGTGAGTGGGGAGTGAGGTAAAGGAATAAGAACCAAGTGGCTAGTGTTTGGGAACATTCCAGATGAACTG